TAGTTATTATTATGAAAAATGCTACATGTACATAATAAATGTAATAACACTCACATGGAGTGGGGTCCACTTGATTTTTTATTTTTGATAGGACCCACTTAATGTGAGTGTTATGTACACTATTATGTACTTATAGCATTACCCTATTATTATTATTATTATTATTATTATTATTATTATTATTATTATTATTATTAATGATTGTTATTAAAAATCGTAGTTCAATTTTAAAAATAATTTTGTAATTTACTGTGATTAAAAAACGTCTGATTCATTGTAAATAAAAAGTTTATATTTTACAATAATGCTAAGGAGCCAACAACCAATAGGACAGCTCCACATGGAGCTGTCCCATTGACTGTTGGCTCCATACAGTTAGTTCCTTAGCATTATTGTTATATTTTTATAGTGTAAGGTGTTGTTTAGACAAATCCAACAATTGCATATTTTTAACAAATAAGCATTTTCATGTTTAAAATATAAATTTTGACAATTTCATAATATAAGGTGTATAATTTCTATTTTTAGTTTTTGTTTTAAAGATGACGACGTACACGGTACAACAAGATTATGTTCTTGTCAAGTTGATTAGGTCAAAGAAAGTTAACTGAAGTGGAAGTGTTGACATAAAAATGGACCATAACAAGTTAAATTTCAAAATACCATGCACTACGGGTCTATGTTGCCATGAGCCCTGGTCTATAAAGTACTGTGTATGAGGTCATGTGATCAATTTATCTGCAAACATATATAAGTAGAATGAGTGACCGATCTAGGAATTTTATTCAGGGGGCGCTCAATCTTAAATATTAAATATGTAAGTCGAAACGTTAATTTCATATAAAAATTTATTTACTAGTAAACATAAATATTGATATGTGTATCATCAAGTTTTTAAAATATTATAATTCGTATCACCCTCAAATTTCTACAAAAATAAACAAAAAAAAAAATGATCGAGATTATATAATTTAAGTTCAACATCTATAATTTATGAAAAAATAAGTTTTCTGGTTGAAGATTTAAATTAAACATTTCCAGCACATTGCATATCATTTTTGTTGATGAGAGCTTATTAAATAAGCATTTTTTTAAGAAAAAAAAATAAAGTTAAAAATATGTGATTATCACAAAAAAAATGTAAAAAAATAAACATTAAACAAAGTAACAATAACTACTCGATTTTATAAATTACTAAATGGATTTACAATTAAGAGACCTAAAGAGTAAATCATTGTAAATATTTTCAAAAATTTATCTAAAAATATAAAATATAAATATCGTTAGTACATTTTTCAATAAATAAATAAGATTATTAATTTAAATTAAAATAGAACAGAAAAAAGTTTTTAATTATAATTATATTGTAAATATTTTTCGGTTTTCTATATAAATAAAATTTATGGTATTATATATATATATATATATATATTGATTTTTTAAGGAAATGAGGGGGCCCACGGCCCCCTGGGCCTTCTTTGGCTCCGTCAATGAGTATAGTGCAAGGTCATAATTATAATGGCCACAAATGGCCAACGTATTTATATTTGAGAAATGTTACATGTACATAATATTGTACATAGGAGTGTACATAACACTTATATTTAGTGGGACCTACCAAAATTAAAAAATCAAGTAGATCTCTTCCATTTGAGTTTTATGTACACCTCTATGTATATTTATTATGTATTTGTAGCATTTTCATTTATATTTATGATACAAATGTGATGTACATTTAAATTATGTGACAATTGTGGAACGTAGATTGTTTCCAAAGAGTTTATATTCAATAGTAATTGAAATTCTCAGCATAATTTTTTGTGCAAAACAGTGTAATGTCTAATTTGTATGATACAAATTAACGATTAAACGGGTCGATTCATATCATGCGAACAAAAATACATACTTATATTATATGCTATTACTTTTAGTTATATTTCTTTTAAATTATAATATTTTTTAATAAAAGTATTTATATAAAAGTATGTTAGTTTAATGGTTAAACCCACCACACACTTCTCAAAACATTTTGGAGGAAATTGCGACTCGCAACAGCATACAACAACTTATTTGCACTATTAGGAGTCAATAAAAATATTTAGCAAATGTACCAAATCTTGTATTTTTAATTACAAACAGATGAGAATTCTATTATTCAACATAAATAAGATTATTGGGATATTCTCCAAAATTAGGGGAAAACATATGCAACTCTCTCTCTCTCTCTCTCTCTCTCTCTCTCTCTCTCTCTCTCTAGCAGATATTACGATAGCAAAAACCCTCCACCGATGACTCTCACCCTCACCCTCTTCCTCTTAATCCTCCATTGACTGCCTCCGCCTCCTGCGAAGAGGTCCGATCAATCCTCAAGTTCAGAAAAGGCATCAAATCCGACCCTTCCGACGTCTTCTTCTCCTGGGTGCCCCATGCCCCCGCCGATGCCTCCGCCTGCCCTGACGATTTCTACGGCGTCGTCTGCTACACCGCCGCCTCCGCCGTAGCGCAAAGTAACCCTGCGCCCTCCCCGTGCGCGCGCCAGCTCCAGCTAGCGTGCGCTATAGCCCCTTAGCGGGCAACAGAGAGCGTCCCAGGCCCCAGGCTAGCGTCGCGAGCGCCCCTAGCGCCGCTAGGGCCTGCTCGCGGCCAACTTTTTTTTTTCTTCTCATTTTTTCATTTTTGCTCGGTTTTTTGAGTTCTATATATTGGGACGAACCCCCAGACCTGTGGAACATTCTCCAATCTCATTTTTCTATTTTCCCCCTAGAACAAAAAATTAGATCTTGAATTTTCTCTTGGATCTCGCTTGAATTCCTTCTTTATTTTCTCGGATTCAGCTTTCAATACCATTTTAATCGTAAATTATAATCTTCATCTAATCCATGAATATGATTGCCTGGATAAATTTGATTGATGTTGGTGAATTCAATATGAGTAGCTGATCCGATTTGTTAAGGACAGGGGATAGTTGTTCTTGTTCTTTCATATTTGTCGGGTTTTGTTTTGTTCATTCTCATGCGAGTTGATTTGAACGGATTGTTAGTTTCTTGCTTATTAGTTGAATATAATTGAAGAGTGACACTTCAATCTTGCAATTGGATCCAATTGGATATTGATCTTTCGAGTTAGGGTTTTTGATTCTAAAACAATTAGTCGACTAATCATCTTCTAATTTAATTTAGCAACTTTTACAACCGAAATGGGAGAAGTTGTAGATCTAGGCTCCCATGAGATAGATGATTTCGTAAAAGAATAGTCTATAGGTTTTTGGATTGAAATACACGCTCGTCTACGCCCTTTACCTTGTTACGAAGAGTTATTGGTATCGGATCCGAGACCGGTGTTGTATGCTTGAACTTGCTCATTTATGTTCAATCCTTTGTTACAAAAAGTTATTGGGAGCAAACCGCTAGATGTTTAAGCGAGAGTGTCAATCGTGAACAGAACAATTATTTGCCCGGTTTTGAGTTTATGACAGATTAATTATCTCTGACTCCCTAGCTTTTTATCATCGTTTGATTCATATTTTTTAATTGACTTTTGATTTTGCATTTTCATATTTTTCTTAGCTGATAACTAAAACCAAATCTTCTGAATTAGAGTGTTTAGGATTTATTTTACTTTTGCGTGCAATCAACATCGAATCTAGATTACGAACCGCATTCCTCGAGTGATCGACCCGAGGTCGGGACTCATCCGATACTCGGTAAAAATAACATAATTTGCTATAACATATTCTATTTCTATTCCCAGCTCTATCATACATCTCAACTATCTACAAAAAAATCCAGAAAATTGATACATGCAATTACAACATGGTGATGGGTTATATCTAAACATAAACATGCAGAACTACACAAATATTTTTGTTAGATGGTTAAACATCACTATTTTTTTTATATATAAGAAAAATAATATCTATACTATATAATATTATATATTTATTAAAATATAGTCTAAG